CATCTGATGTGGCTATAATATTTTATGTCAGAGGGGAGGGAGCTGGACGCAGGGAGTACATAAATACTCCTTCAAGAATAAGAACTGGGATTTGTGCTTTCACAAGTTTTGATGTGCACTGCCATGTAGTTTCAGAGCCTTTATTTTTAATCATTGAGGTTGCTAAAGGTTTTCTAGAAAAGACAAATCCAATCTGTAGTTGAAACTCTGCAGCTACAGTATGATGTGGAACATGCTGTTAAATGGAAAACAAAGACGCAGAAACCAAGGGTAGGACAGATGGAAGCACTGGCATACAGACAGCTAGTGGCTCAGAAGAAAGCAAAAGCTAGCACACAACGAGAAGGAACGGCTTGTTAGACACAGAGAAGACACAACTACACACACGGCAAGCCAGGGAGTGGCTAAGGAAAACAGGGACCTTAGAGTAGTCTAACTCATTCCAGCATGTTCTTCTGATGGAAAAAAAAACAAAACAAAGCAAAGCAAAACAAAAAACCACCACCACCACCACCACAACAACAACAAAAGAAGACAAGGAATGGAGTTCAAAGGTTCAAACAAAAGGAAATCATGAGACTAGAATGACAGTTACCTACTTTAATGAACACATATAATATACATATGCTGAAATATCACACTTCACTTTAGTGTGTTTGGTATTTATTAAAAAGAAAAATGGAATTTAAACCATAAAACAAGCCAACACCAATAACAAAAACAAAAGCAGAAAGGAGGTAGAAGTAATAAGAAAGACATTCATCACACCATATTCAGTTGAGAGACTACTTCCTGACTAAGAAAAACGACAGAAAGAAGGGCAAGCTTGGCTACGCCCATGGTCCCAACACTCTGGAGGCTGACGCAGGGTTCCCATGAGTTTAAAAGCAGCCTAGGCTCCAGTATGACACCTGATCTTAGAAAATCAAAACAACACAGAATATTTAAAGACAAACAGAGTAGGAGACACATGAGAGGTATTTTTATATTGTAAGTTAGAAAGAGTGGCACATGTATGTCAGTGTCTGGTAAATATATGTTGAAATACTGGTTATTTGAATACATGCTTGATCAAAAGTCACTTTCCTGGTTATTTTCTTTGTTTGAGGTCTTTGTGCCTTACTCTGTAATTACTTTTTATCTGTATCTTCTTTTCCTATTATTATTGTTGGCGAGGTACCCATGGAGAACCAGAGGAAAATCTTGTCTTCTTCAACATAATTTTCTGTGTGGCTTCCATCCCTTTACTTACTTGGCCACACTAGTTAAATCTCCAAGTGCTCCGCATTCTCTGGTGTGGCCACAGCTTCCTTGGCTTTTCCCTTTTCCTGCTCTGTGTCCAATCCCTCGGTACTATAACTTCTTTGCAGTCATTTCCTGGCTGAACTTCCCTCCTTATACAAACTAGTCTCTTAAAAAGCACTCCATGTCCTCCATCTTCAAGCTACCCCAGTTCATTTGAAGGTGGGCCTGATTAGAAGTCTGCAAACCATCTACCTCCTTTTCTTCTTCGGGGACTCCGCTGGCCATCCCCATGACTCATCTCAGCTATCCCAGGTCTCATCTTGTCTGCCACATTCACGCTGGCTATCAAACACCTACCCCCATTTTTCCTCTTCCGTAGCCCACGAATTTCTCCTTCCGCTATGATTCTCCTCCTTTTCTGTCCTCTGCACTACAGACCGGTCTACCGGGGCAGCAGCTGGCCTGGCGCTTCCTTTTCACGTCAGCTTTGCTGCTGCGTCCAGTCGTCTTCCACAGTCTTCCTGCTCAGGGCCCTTGTTTACTCAGCGGATTGCTTCTATTTGAAGACTTACTATGCATTCGGCTCCCTTCTAGATGCTGTATTTAAGATGGAATAAAATCCTGCCTCTCATTGAGGAATTGAGTATATGGTACTTAAACAACAGAAGGAAACAAATGCACTAGGTAATTTTGTTTTTCATAGACACAGCCATGGAACAATAGGAAAAAACTAGCACTGATTCCTGAAGGAGAAATTCACGCTGATTGAAAAATCTCCATCAATGCTACTGTAGCTTTCTCGCCTATTCTTTTGTTCCTGAAAGATTGCTGGATATATACCATATCTATGTTCTTTATTAGATCATCTTTTTAGATAAAAACAATGCAATAATAATAATATCTCTATTCTAATCACAATAGCAAGAAAATGAAAGCAGCCTAATGGCCATCAACAGATGAATAGATAATGAAAATGTGGTACACACAGGGGAGTTTTTATTGAGTAACAAGGAAAACTGAAGCTATGATATTTTCAGTAAACTGGATGGAACTGGAGAGTCTTATAGTAAGTTAGGTAACCCAGGCTCAAAAAGTCAAACACCGTATGCTCTTTCTCATATGTAGGTCCTATCTGTGGATTTTTATACATGTGTGCTAAGAGGAATGAGTGTGCTTAGAACCTGAAAACCAGCAACAGTTTTTTGAGGTTGTAATATAAGCTCTTCCTCTTCTAGTGCCCAGTCTTGCAGATTAAAAGTAGGGTCACATGCATACAAGTTGAATGTTCTTAAACGGGGCTCCATCATCCATGCCCAGCTCCTCCTAAATATCAATATGATATGCAGAGTTCCACATTTGTCCACATTCTCTTTCTGAATATGCTCAACATACGTAGGGTAGAGTGTAGCTTTTAATATCCTCGTAGGAAGTATTTCATATGAAACGAAGGAGTAATAATACTTGCTATATAGGGACAACATCTGTAAACCAAAACTATCTCAAATAAACTAGGAAGAAGCTACATTCATTGTTAAGGTTTGACATGATGGAGACCTGTTAATATATGTAAAACTCTATGCATCCTTGATATTAACAATGACCTTAATGTTTTATGTCTTGCTCTTATGATTTCTCACAGGAATCTGAAACTCAGTATGACCACAGCTTAAATCACACTTAGATTTTTAGAGGCTGTATTTTCTATTCAATTACCTAGCTCCACACAGGAGACTGCTCTAGATTTCCTATTCCTGCACCTCTGGCATCTAATCCGTGCTAAGCCTAGCTCTGAGCACTTCTCCACTTCACTGTTCGCCCTCTGGAATGCTGTCAAGACTTTTATCTGACTTCCTAGTTCTAGTCTTGTTTCACACAATTTTGTTTTCTCACTGTGGCTACACTTGTGTTTTGAATGTGTCAATGTCCCCATGACCATCATAACCCTAGTGACGCTGTGTAATTTGAAGAAAAACACCCATGCCCAGCAAGGAGCTTCTTACACAAAGCCCTCTATTTATGCTGCTTTTTTCCTTCTGTCCCTCATATAGCACCTGGCGAGCTGCTTTAGCACAAGGGCATCTTAAACCCTGAACACTTCCTCACTCCACCTTCAGGAGGTACCATTTGCTGCTGTGGACTTAACACTGGAGGAAAAAATGATGCCCGTACTCTGGTACTCTCTCACGTGTGCCCATGTCTTACAGAATCATCAATAAAGAGTGAAAACGTGCAAGGGTGTTGGCTGTCAAATATTTGCCATGTTTTATGAAGAGATCTTAGCCTAAGAGACATGATGACATTAATGCATGTGGGTGATACGACAAATTATGACAAACACGTTGTTAACTGTTTAGAATTTCAGCAAATGAGAATGCATTTCAACATTCCAAAAGAAATTCCTTTTACCTAAGAGAGTCTTTTCATTCGTCCCCCGCCCCTTTGTAAATGCAGAGTACATGCAACTTTAAAAGGAAGGTAAATATTGGTTCCTGTCCAGAGATGTCTTACCCGACTTTTCCCATATCCATATTCTTAGAGCAACAGTTCTGGCTCCCCTGGAAGGAACTATCTTACCGCGTCTCTCAAGAAGCCCAAGCTATTTGACCTTCCAGGCATAAAAACCCTCCACAGCCGGGCGGTGGTGGCGCACGCCTTTAATTCCAGCACTCGAGAGGCAGAGACAGGCAGATCTCTGTGAGTTCAAGGCTGGGCTGGACGACAGCCTCAAAAACAATACAGAGAAACCCTGTCTCGTAAAAACAAAAACAAAAACAAAACAAACAAACAAACAAACAAAAAAACAAAAACAAAACTACCCTCCACAGTTTTTGGAGAAAATGTGGTTACTTACTCCAACTAAGGCTGAACAAATTAAATAAGTATAATGAAAAATTTAAAAGAATATTAGTTTAAAAGAATATTAGTGTTTGTAGGGCAAAGCAAGAGCATCTGGCATGGCTGGCATTCTGAGGACAGAGATCCCATCCAGGAGTCCAACGGTCTCTTAGATCACTCCTACACTCACAACAGTTTTGTATTTCTTCACTCAATCCCAATTCTTAGTGCAATCTTTCCTACTTATACTTTGTAACAATTATGTATTACAAATCTTGTTTTGGGAACTGAGATTACTTCTCTGAGAAGAAAAATTATTTATAAAATTATGAGATCTAAAAACACTCTGATGCATCCTACAAGCTGAGGCCCTGGCTTTCTGGCTGTGGTAAAACACCCTTAGGTGTTTCTGAGGAGTCAGCAACACATTGATTACTGAGTACTGTATCAAGGGATAAAATTTGTTAATTTATAACTAACAGAAGTCAAATACTCCAGATTTATTTTTCCTTTGGCAATATATTGGTATTATAAAAGCTGCTCTAATCTCCCAATACATATAACTTGAATACTTGCTACACGTCAGAAGGTGGAGCTCTAAACATATCTGAAATGTTGGTTCCAATGTAGTCCACAAATGTGTATACCGAGGGGACTGAACAAGCAGGAATTGTTTGGAAAAATCCTTCTAAAAAATATCCTAGCTCTTTGAGGATGACATCACCCACATCTCCTAATACAAGGTTCACTAGCAGAAAAGGCGTATAGTGACTTCCTGTAACATGTCAAAATACTTCCTGTTATTAAAAACTTAGATGTGTGCTAATCCAACAATATAAATTAAAGTACATTTAAAAGGCAAAACATTTTTGAACAATCATGGCTACCTGGTCAAATATGGGAAGGTCACAGACACTTACAGGCATCTCGGATATAGAGTAACATGGCTATGAAGACGTAGTCGACTAAGCTCAGGCTGAGGCCATCTGCAAACAAGGCATCCCAGACCACCAACAGATCCTGCAGCGGGAACTCTCTTCCAAATAGCAGCCGCACCCATCTCCTGCAAAGAGACCAAAGAATCAGAAAATGAGCATCCCAGGGGATAGAAATGAAAGTAGTTGTAATTTATTAATTGAGCACAGTCATAAAATACTATAAACTGAAAATATAGTGTAATTTGAAATTTAAGAAAGTATTCTATAACAAAACAAAATACTGTAAAATATAAGTTTTAAGTTTTTTAAGTTCTATATTAGGCCACCGTGTTACATATTTTACTTCCTTGTGCAGAACACAAGAATGACACCTGGGAAAGAGAGAAAATTTTCTTATGAAATAGACACCACAAATCTTTAGTAAGAAAAGACAGGACACTATATAGTCAGTGCAGCAGTTGGGATATATTTAATGTTATTCATTGAAAATACCGTCTCATAATATTTCACTTTCTCTACTTATTTTTGTTAACTTATTAGCTTTTCACAAATGTTTTCTCTAACAAATCACCACAGTCAAACTTAGTAATTTATATTCTCACAATTATTTAAAATATTCATTTAAAACTTGGGGTTAGGGAAAATTATTACTCTTGCATATATTTGGAAGGGTCAAGTACACAGTTACTGAAAATGAAAAAAAATTAATAATTTTTTTTTACTAGAAATGGGTATCACTAATCAGTAAAGCTGTTTTTCAGGGGATCCCTTTCATGTTGCTTTGTTGCCCAGGTAAACAAATACAGCTCAGAAGTCAGTGAGAGCCAGGGGTACTAACTGACACTTATAGATGACTGTATAACATAAACTGTGAGGCTTCATACTCCAGACTTCCAGGACGCCTAATTGGACAATTTATATCTAATGTTAACAAGAAAATTTGATATATTTTGATTCATTGATTTCTAATTTTATGCAATAGGGGTACAATTCTTTATACAGTCTTTTCCCAAGCACTCCAGTAAGAATTCTATTTAAATCTGGTATATTGCAGAGAATTCAAAAGCATTAATTTCCTGTAATAGCAAATTATATAAGAGAAATTATTTAAAAACTAATCACAAACACACAATTAGCAAAATCCTTACTTTTTGGCAAAATCTGAACTAAAGTCCAACTGTCTGGAGGCTAAAGTGAAGTAAAACAAAGCCCTCCAACCAGAAACAAACACTTGGTTCCAGGGGTATTGTACTAAGGCAGAACCGCAGCTGTGTCCAAACAGTCTGTCACCAAGTGTATACATTGCCACAGCTACTAGAAATCATGTGATCAAGCATATTCATATTATCAAATTAATCAAGAGTAGTTTTTCTAGACTGTATTTTATACTACAGCCATTATTACTCATATTTTTTCATTTGAAAATAAATGCCTAGGTAAATATTTTAAATGTTATAATAATTTCTACAGCATTTAATCTTTCTTTCAGATCTTGGTGTACAGCAAAAATAGAGTGGTTAATGCAAAATGCATGTACTTTTCACCTTTGTAGGTTAAGAAAAAATTACTATGCACTTCTAATTCTTACAAATCACTGAGTGTAATATGTATTAACTTGATGGCCATTCTTCTAAATTAGGAAGAATTAACTGGTGTAGAAGAGTGTTGGGGAACTAGAGATGAGCAAAGCAAAAGTGCACAGAATTTTGACTAAATACATGAATATCTACACTTACACGACTAAAACATTTAGAATATGGTTACTTGAAGATATTTAATTGACACAACTGGAAAAAAATTCCATCAATGAATAAAACGAATGAATGCTAGTCTAGGACATGAGGGAAAAATACCAAACTGTTTTTTGTAGCATTCCTAACAGCTCAAATGTATATTTCATGACAATATTTGCAACAAAAGAGACAATTTATCTCTTCTACAAAATGCCAGTCACTGCTCACACTTCTCTTGCAACATTCCTGTTGGTGAGGGTTACATTAGCATGGCTTCAAAATGAGTTCACAGACACTTGCGTGAGCTGTGTCTGTCGCAGCACTGCAGAAGGGACAAGTGCCAATCTTCATCCTTCACAGAGAAGAGGACAGGGCTTAGTCTCCAAGTATCTACACATGTGACGTCTTCACCGTTACGTAGGACACACATCTTCAGCACTTTATGCTCAAGTCTGTGATGGGATTTTACAAACTTTTGCATTTCTTCACTCAAGTTTTATCTTGCCAAAGTCTGTTCCTTAATCCTAGAGTGAGGACCAAATACACACACAGGGTAGGAGAGGCTTGGATTGAGGTGTGTGTGTGTAGGGGGAAGAGGGGAGACCTAACAAGGTCTTTGCCAAGTGCACAGATACTTCACTCAGTGCTCTCTGGGATGGTTACCAGGATCTTGTTCAGGCACTCTGAAGCCACCTACCATGCTACTGCAGAGCAGAGGTCTAGCTTAATGGGAAACACAAGAGTTGATCTTAGTGACAGTGGAACAAACACAGTTTAGGAAGTGGAGGAAAATTTAGAACTATATAAGGAAAGACAGGTTACTGCTATATATGAAGTAATTACTTTTTATTAATTCACTAATTCATGTATTTCTCACTGTGTGCATGGTGGGTGTGTGCATACCATAATAATGCCCATGGTAAAATCAGAGTGCAGCTTTCAGGGATTAGCTGCCGTTTTCCTGTGGACCTGTGCAATGAAAGCAGTTCCTCAGGGTTGTGCTACAAGTACTCTTGCCTGTTGTACCATTTTCTTGGCTCAGAGGTGTTAATTTATATGAGACCTAATAATTCATATGTGTAACAGCACTGAAGTATAATCCCTATTTTCTGTTTTATAATATGGGAAAATTAATGACAAATTCCTAACTTTTAAGAGTAAAGGATATAGATTCAGGGCAGAGGTGAGCTGCAGCCCCTACCTCAGGCCGACTTCCTTCTTCTTTTCCTTTCTGGGATCTCCTGGCCTGGGGACAGCAGCCAGGTCAACTCGCCCACAGAGGACCAAGCAACCAGGAGCCTGCTGAGAGTGCCAGTCTACTCCTGACCCTACTCAGGGCAGAGGAGAGGGAGTGCCTCAGACCTGCTCAGACTCAGAGTACTGAACCTGCTTGCATCCACCAGAAGAGAACCTTGGACCCGTACACACCAGGAAAGGAAAGAGACCCCACCTGTACCGGCTGGAAGAAGGGATGGGGTGGGGTGGGAGTGGGGGAAGGAGGGGAGGGAGAGGGAGCTGGCATTGATATGTGAAGCAAGCTTGTTTCTAACTTAAATTCAAAAATTAATAGAAAATATGCCACAAAAAAGAGTAAAGGATATGGTTACAGCAATGATAAATTAACAAGAATTTATCAATGATGACTTTACTCCCAGTGGATTTACTTCACATATATGCTCAAAACAAAAAACTTCATGTACTATTTTGGTGTCTTTTTTTTTTCACTGATTTAAAAGCAAAGGAAAAATTCTGTGCTTTATGGAATGAGTTACTAATAGACATTGTTTCAGTAAGCTTTTATATTCTCAGAAAGAAATATCTACTTTAAAAAAACAAGGCCTTATAAAGAAGTTATGTCTACAATTAACATGCTTTTATTGCTGTTAAAAATATTTAGTGAGTGCTAAGTTACACTTAAGGGTAGCATTAAACCTTTCTTCTCCTTAAAGACACTTCAGTTTAATTGCTTGATACCATTAACTTTGCAATTCAGAAGCTGTACCTGAAGATAGCAATGCTCACACACTTCATGGCTTGTGGTGACACAGGGGTTCACACGCTACCAGACCTATGTAGCAATTACAGTTACACAAACAGAATGACTATCCAAAGTACTAAGGTTAGTAATAAACTACTCAGAGACAGGACAGTCTTCGGTGTCTCTCAACGTCAGTTCTGTGTAATGAAACTGCTTCTCCAGGGGGATCATTAACTACTGATGGTGTTATTGCTCAGTGAATGGTGCATAGAAACACCAGGAGGAAACTGATGCACAAGAATGACCAGCTTGTAGTTTATCTAAGCCAATATGGTTATGAAGAAACACACACACACACACACACACACACACACACACACACACACACACACATTCTCCTACATCTTCTTTATTTTCTTTTCATGACCACCTTGTATGGGACATGGCTATCACAACCAAACAAGAACAAGGTAGGAAAACGTATTCAATTTAATCTAACAAATATCAGAAAAGATCCTAGTTAGGCACGGTGGCTCACTCCTTTAATCTCAGCACTCGGGAAGCAGAGGAAGGCGGATCTCTGACCTACCTGATTGACGCTAAGCTCTTTTTTATATGGGGTTTTCTGTAGTTTTTTTTAAAATGAATTAATTGTATTTACATCAATCCTATGAGAGTAGTCTCAAAAGTTGCAGTTATTATAGATAGGGCGACAGGAAACTGTCAGTTTTCTTACATTTTTTTAAAAGTTAAAATTACAAGGAATGTATCATAAAATAACTGGAAGCTTCTTCTAAGAACTATGTCTCATGGGATCAGAAGGTGCTATGCAAGCTGCCCAGGAAAAAAGCAAAGTCGATGGACTGCAACAGTGGCCAGCCTGGCAAGACAGAAGACCCCAGGCTACAGCAATGGCAACTGTAGCTTGGGGATAACAAACAGCTGTCTAATTAGACCTAAGACCTGCTCAATAGGAGAGAATTCATGCCTGGTACTATATGCCTAGCCAACTACTCTCAGACAGAGAGGCCATAGGTCCCAGAGGAGAACCTAGCTCTGCCATTTTCCTAAGTCCAGTGATTTTTAGTTGTATTCTAAATACTAACCTCTACCCACAGGTAAGTTCTATTTACACTTATTCCCAAAGCAGCTTGTTTATGCAGCAGATGCAGTAGGGGATTTTTACAAAGATACACACTAGTCATAAACACAGAGAATAACCATAGGGCATACAATTAAAGTGGTATATCTATAATGTAACCCCTACAACTATGGCTCAGAGAACATAACAGAAGAGGGGGCTGCCTAATGGCAATATAAGCTGACATGTCAATGTGAATAAGAAAAATGTTACAAGTCCCTACTCTTAGATGACCAACTATAGGCAATAATGGCTGCCGAGAGACAGACAGACAGCTCAGAGGGAGTACAGAGGGCACAAGAAGAGTTGGAAGGGGTAGAAAAAGAGGTAGATGTTGGGGAATATTATTCTAGGGGGTGACTTGTTTATGCTGCATTTGTTTAACCATGGGAAGTTGGATTCTTTGCCTGTCTAAAACACCTGATGATGTAATAAAGAGCTGAATGGCTAACAGTGAGGCAGGAGCAAAGGTAGGCGGGGCTGGCAGCAGAGTATAAATAGGAGGAAGAAGACCTAGAGGAAGAGACAGAGAGCAACAAAACAACACGGAGAGGAGAACATCAGCCAGCTATGGAGGAAGAGTGAAAGTAAGACTTAGAGAAGAGAAAGATAAAAGCCCAGAGGAAAAGGTAGATGGGTTAATTTAAGATAAGAAAAGCTGGCTAGAAACAAGACAAGCTAAGACAGGCATTCATGAGTAATAAGCCTCTGTGTGTAATTTACTTGGGAGCTGGGTGGCAGGCCCCCTCAAAAAGACAGAAGAGTGAAAAGCACCACACAATTACAGGTGAGAAATATGTAAATACAGTAATCATGTATAAAATTCACAAAAATTTCAACCTAAAAAAATTCAAATTGACTTCCTATTTCTTGTGATCCATGGGTTGATCTGAGGTCAGGTTTGGCTTCCTAGGAACACATATGAATCCTAAGTTAAACAAACATGAGCATATATACTTGAGTCATTATTAAAAATGTATTTTTTACTTTATGAAAACCTCACTGTTCTACCAGAGGGCAGTGCCTAGTAGTCCTTTATTAAGAAAGACTTCTTATTGCAGAAGTAAGTGCCTAATAATTATCATGCATATCGCTCTGGATGTATATGAAACTTTTTCATCAGAAAAAACTGTAACAAGCCCTTTGGAAAAAAAAAAACAGTCTGAGTGGGAAGTTCAGTCTTGTGCATCAATCTTTCCCATAGTTTGATAAAGGAAGCCCATGGACTGTTGGGGATATGATGACCACAGGGCATTGTAAGGCTGTATGATCTCTTACCATTCTCAATCCCTTTCTCCCACCTCCCACTACTATTTAAAACAAGGGTTCTGCTTTTGGGAGGGGCTTTTTGAGACAGGGTTTCTCTGTGTAGCTTTGAAGCCTATCCTGGCACTTACTCTGTAGACCAGGCTTGCCTTGAACTCACAGAGATCCACTTGCCTCTACCTCCCGAGTGCTGGGTTTAAAGGCGTATGCCAACCTTCTTAAACCTGTGACCCTTTTATACACTTCCATATATTGTGGTGACCCTCAACCATAAGACTATTATCATGGCTACTTCATAGTTATAAATTTGCTACTATTATGCAGATGGTCTTAGGCTACCCCTAAAATGCTTGTTCAAAAGCCACCCCACCCCCAATAGTCACAACCCACAGGTTGAGAACCGCTGTTTTAGTAGCACTGTCTGCTATCACAAGGATGATATCTGAAAAATGGGTAATTTAAGAACATGTAACTTACCAGCAAGTTCAAGCACAACGGATGGTGGTAGAAACCTTGCATAGTTGTAGGAACAGGACTCACTGTCTAAGAACCAACTTGCTCACGCAAGTGGGGCACAGCTGAACTCCTAACCCTGACTGAAGAGTCTATGGAAAAGTGTCACCAAGAAATACTTTCTACCCTACCACACCCTTGTGCTGTCACATATGAGTTTCTGGAATTTCCTGGAGCAAATTACTTAAAGGCTACTACTACAGGTGAATGACATATTGAAAAAATAATTTCAGGCTTTGTAAACACTAATTTTTAAATTGCTTTCCAATTCCCACTTCCAGAGAGTTTGTAAGTACTTTGTTGTTATTTTACTTTCAAAAAAAGGAATTATAAAATCAATTTTCTAAAAGAACATGAAAAGAATTGTTAAAAATAATAGTGTCCATCTTCCTTAACATAGAACCCATTTTTTTATTTTTTTATTATTTATTTTTAAATTTAAATTAGAAACAAGGTTGCTTCACAAGTCAGTTCCAGGTCCCTCTCCGTTTCCCTCCCCCCTCCTGTGCCTTCCCCCCAACCCTCCCAGATCTACATCTAAAATCCATATATGAGAGAGTACATGCCATGTTTCTCTTTTTGTGACTGCGTTACCTCACTCAGGATGGTTTCTTCTAGTGTCATCCATTTGCCTGCAAATCTCAGGATTCCATTGTTTTTTTCTGCTGAATAGTACTCCATTGTGTAATTGTACCATATTTTCTCTATCCACTCTTGGGTTGAGGGGCATCTAGGTTGCTTCTAAGTTATGGCTATTACAAATAATGCTTGCTGACTGTGTCCTTTGCCTTACAGAAGCTTCTCAGTTTCAGGAGGTCCCATCTATTAATTGTTGATCTCACTGTCTGTGCTACTGGTGTTATGTTCAGGAAGCTGTCTCCTGTACCAATTCGTTCAAGGGTACCACCCACTTTATCTTCTAAGAGGTTCAGTGTGGCTGGATTTATGTTTAGGTCTTTGATCCATTTGGACTTAAGTTTTGTGCATGGCGATAAACATGGATCAGTCCACATTCTTTTACATGCCAGCCTCCAGTTATGCCAGCACCATTTGTTGAAGATGCTTTCTTTTTTCCATTGTATATTTTTTGCTTCTTTGTCAAAGATCAGATGTTCATACGTGTGTGGGTTAATATCAGGGTTTCAATTTGATTCCATTTGTCTATCTGTCTATTTTTGTGCCAATACCAAGCTGTTTTCAGGACTATAGTTCTATAATAGAGCTTGAAGTCAGGAATGGTGATGCCTCCGGATGTTGCCTTGTTGAACAGGGTTGTTTTGGCTATCCTGGGTCTTTTGTTTTTCCATACAAAATTGATTATTGTTCTTTCAAGGTCTGTGAAGAATTGTGCTGGGATTTTAATGGGGATTGCATTGAATCTGTAGATTGCTTTTGGCAGGATTGCCATTTTTACTACATTGCTCCTACCTATCCAAGAGCATGGGAAATCTTTCCATTTTCTGAGGGCTTCTTTAATTTCTTTCTTTAAAGATTCAAAGTTTTTTCGATACAGGTCTTTCACTTGTTTGGTTAGCGTTACTACAGAGCTTCCAATCCCATAGAACCCATTTTTAAAAAGAATAAACCTGTTTGACTTTAGTACCAATGGGATCTTAACCACACTGTGTTGCATGCCGAACTTCCTTTATATCTCTCTCAAAACACTGATAGGCATTATTGGAAGAACTGACATTGGCTATAACACCAAGGGGTTACCAGAATCTATTTAGTGATGAAGGTAAGATCACAGCCAAGTTTCTATAAGCATTTAATCCAACTCCAATAACGATGAAGTGAATAGCAAAAGCAAGTGGGCCAGACTTCACAGGCTGGTCTTATGTGGTTGGGAGAGTCTGACAGAGCCATTACTAAGGGAAGGGAGTCTAACTGCAGTCTATAGCTCTGAGTACTCTCTACTTACTCTTCACAGACACTTTCTTCTGTCTTTTCTTTCCTATCCAGGCCTGATGGATGGAGGCTGACATATGACATGTGTCACTGTTTCCCAGTTAGGCACTGGAGGATGAACATTAGCTACTGACAATGCTGCTAAGTTTGTTTTGGTGTTGTTCTTTCTCTTAACAGATTCCAAGCTCCTTAAAGATATTTGGAGGGGCAAAGAATAGGGTGTTAGCATGTTTAGTAAGTTAGTATGCATTTTCTCCTGACGTCAGCTCTTTCTGGTCAGGGATCCTGAAGGTAAAGAGCTTCCATCTAATTTACGCACAGGCATCCTAGATACTCACTGAATTTTCCCCTAAGCACCTCCCACGTCTCTGTGAGCTGGCTCACATATTAAGTACTAAATCTCCAAGGCCCTTAGCCATCCTGGACCTTCCCTGTCATTTCTAGACCACTGTTTCTGTTTCACACTCAGAACTCAGGTGTTCTTCAGCTTTACTCTGTACTCAAAGTACAATCCTGGGCTGTGCCACTACTCCGGAGCCTGCAGACGCTCAATACTGTCTAACTAGACATGGAGTCAAGACACATGGGTGAGCATTTACAATATGGTTTGAGAGAGGCTGGAACAGGTAAGATACCCTTGTTCAAGTGAATATTTGTATCATCTACTCCTAAACTCTCCCATGCACTGATGCACTACTTTGCAAGGAGGGAAATGGGTGGCTTTCCAGTTACAGCAGTAGTCTCCAACTTGAGCATGTACAGACTGGCTTTTCCTTCAAAGTCTACAGAATCCCTGGAAGGGTCAACCCCCAGATTATTGAGGAAGATTTAGATGTAGACTTACTTTTAGGTGCTAGGGTATACTACTGATAATACTTGAGTGGGGACCACAGAAAAAGTTCTAAAATTTCAAGAACATCTTACATTCTAGTGTCTCTCAAACATTAGTTAATTTAAAGGAGTGTATCTTTGAATTAGCTTCCTCAGCATGTCTAGTCATTGGATCAATGACCAACACACATTTAAAATCTGGGATAAAAATCATGCCCAGTCAAAATTCCTTTAGTATCGTGTTAACTTCTAAACATTTGATGACATGCTAAATAAACAGAGGGATAAGGGAGGGGGAAATGGGAGAGAGGATAAAGGAAGGGGAGTGGAGGGGAGAAGAGGAGACAGAGGAGAGAGCCAGCATGCCCCTTTTATCCCAGAGCAGACAATAGGTCATTTTAATTTCTGTTAACCTCCTGGCATATGACTTAGGTTAGCATTTGCAAGTTAATGCTTTTTAAACATTAATTTACTATGGAGGATCTATTACCTGTCTGTCTTTCTATCTATGATATAATAATGCTCAATGGTAGAAGACATACTATTAGCATGCATTATTTTTAATCACAAGTAACAGGCATATATACACACTCTCTCTGCCTCCCTCTCTCTCAAACAGTAAATATGTATGTTTGTTTGTATGGATACTCATACATTTGAAGAGTTGTTTCTTTGTTATACTACAGGTTTGGTGTAACCCAGGAGACTGTGCATGGTAGTCAAGGACTACAGTCTAGCTCTTGAGGGCCTTTGAATTTAGGCCCATTTTAATATCTTTCCTGAGCCTCAAGCCTTGATCTAATGAGTCCAAGAATTAGGACACTGGAGGGTACAGGTGCTTTAGTAGGTACAAAAGATGCAGAACCCATGGAGGAAGTGGTGTATGTTCACAAGGAACAGAAAATAGTGTTAGCACTAGGACCAAAATGGAAATTTCCAACTGCCCAAGTGCTAGCTCTCTTAATATGGCCAAAATGGTTAACAGGTTTGTACACAACTTATGTGTTACCAGTAAATCATTCTTACCAAAGTGTCTTAGTTTGCTTTCTATTGCTGTGATGATCACTATGACCTTGCTTTTTCATAAGACCCAGGACCAAATCAACACAGT